TTGTGAGTGAAATGAAGTAAAGCTTGTACATCATTGAAATATCTTGAAAACTTTAGTTCTGTTCTTGTTTTATTTTTGAATTGGCAATGGTTCTTCAGAAAAGAAAGTGAAATTATCACAATTACTGCAGTATTTAAAATTTATGTTATCTCGATCAATAATCGCCATAATTCGCATGCAATTTTCTCCAATATTTGTACTTTCAACTGCTCATGCGAATCTGAGGCTCATTAAATCTTCAAATGAGATGAATTATTGACTTTTACTCCTGGGATTTTTTGATTTAAAAGCGTTTGATTGACTGAGACAAATGCACGCATAAATCGTGTGAAATAACTGATAACGAGCCCAATCATCTGAATCAACAAAATATCCCTCTTTTTCTTGAAGGTGACTTGAAAGATTTACTTTTTATCCCTTTTTTCAAGTTGCCACCACAGTATTTTAAAATTGTTACTGCAAATAATGACTGAAACGAGAAGAAGGATAAACGTGACTAAATCATACTCCGTGGGAGATTTTCCAATTGTTAGGGGATTTCGCCGTGATTTTTATTGAAGCAAGATCTAAATAACTGGAAGAATTTGAAGAAACTGAAAAAATGATGAAGGGTTTTCAAGAAATTAAACAAATAGTAATCCTTCAGAATAAAGGATTTACTGCATGTAATGATAGAATAAAATCGATATTATCATGAACTGATTTATGTTTCATGAATCAATCAGTCTGTCTGTCTGTTTGTGATCCCTTTCCTCAAGCATTTTATTCCAGTCTGAAAAACTGCTGAGCTGTGAATTGTGCCTAATTGTTTCTTTCGTTGTTTAGAAAAAAGTTTTCCTGAAAAATTTTTTTTTTAGAGCTGCCGCACGTTTTTAACCCAACCTTGACAACATTTACGGTGTTTTAATCATTTATTATTCTAGTGTGCTTCTCAATAGTCACAGAACTCAGCAGACTGAAGAAGTACGCTGTAAAATCTCGTTACAAAGAATGATTTTCCAGGAAAGCAATCATTTCAGGTTCCTCGAGTTTAGACATAATGTTATTTAGGCTCATCGTAACGAATTTTTCGTCGTAAAAAAGGTGTTTTCCGTGTCCCAAGGGCTTTGTTGTAACGAAATTTCACTGCACAAGTGGACTCTCTCTATAACGACATTCGGATGGACCGAAAAATTTTTAATTCTCGTTAGAACGATTTTATTTTCTGTCCCCCTGAATTTTATCGTGAGAAACAAAATTCAATTTGAGTTTTGTTTCTCACAAAAAAATTCAGATGGACCAAAAAATAGAAATTCTCGTTACAACGAAATTTATTCGGTCCCAAATTTTCAAACGAGAATATAAAAATGTTGAAATTGTCGTTACAACGAAAATTTTCCGGTCTCCCTGAATTTTGTTGTTGTAGAGAATCTCTATATGATGAAAAGATAATCTAGAAAAACTAGAGAATCCTGGGGGACCAAAAATATCGTCATGCAGCGAAAATCATTTAGATGAGATTATTTTGGAAGCAGAGAGTCTAAATGAGAGTCAGTAGATTCTTGTTACAACGAATCTCGCTATAACGAAACAGTGCTTCCAGCGAATTATTATTATCATTTTTTATCTGTTCAACAGCAACAATGTTATTCAAAATTTCCATTTCTGCGAATTTCCTTTTATAAACGAAGCTGGTAACGAGATTCTCCAGAATACTGTAATTGAAAACATTCCAAAATTACGCGTGACCACATCATTAGAAATATTTGTTCAGCAGAAAAAAGCAGAGAGGAACCACGTCGAAAAATATTTTGCAACGCTTTGAAATACCAGTTGTTCCTCTTCCTCGAACCAAGTGATGTTCATATCCCGATATGNAATACTGTAATTGAAAACATTCCAAATGCGTGACTACATCATTAGAAATATTTGTTCAGCAGAAAAAAGCAGAGAGGAACCACGTCGAAAAATATTTTGCAACGCTTTGAAATACCAGTTGTTCCTCTTCCTCGAACCAAGTGATGTTCATATCCCGATATGTCGTGATACCAGCTCGCACATATTTCTTCTGACTCTCATATATCTATGTATACAAAGAAGAAAAAAGAAAATACATCTGTACGTATAAATAGCTTTTCGAGTGATGGATCATTCGTTGGGCGGCGATGACAGCGCGAAGAAGTCGTGACTCTGCTAGAAAACGAGACTCACCAAAAGAATGAAGAGGGGAAGGAAAAAAAATATATATATACAGTATATATAAATGGAAAGAGGAAAATGTAGAAAGAAAGTCGTGATTGCTTGCAATTGAGTGACGCAAGTACGTGTGATATAACTGGTGAACTCCCACGCAACACTTCGTGGGTGTTCACTGGGTTCTAATATCAAAACCAGGGGATTTTTTTTTTCATTTCAGAGCCCCCAGTGGAAATTCTGAAATTCCTTGACAAGTAATCGTCAAAAACGTGAAATACACCACAGAAAAAAATTCCTGGATCGCGTATCTTGTCCAATTGCTCTGGTTTGTTTCATGTGGGATGAAGAGGAAGTTAAATACAGTATTTAAAATCCGGGAGAAAATTCTTGGAAATCGGAAAAACTCTCACTTGAATGTTCAAGGATTTTTTTGGTACAGAAAGAAGTTAAATTCAAGTATTCGTGGTAAAAACAAAATGCGCTAAAAAAATTTCGTTCATCGCGGATACAGTAATTTCCAAAAAAATATTTTGAGGCAGCTATTTCACGAAAGGAAGAGGAAATAGATTACAGTATTTAAAACACGGGAGAAAATTCTGAAGTTCGGAAATTCTCAGTTGAATGTTCAAGGATTTTTTCAACAGAACCCATTTCAATTCAAGTATTCGTCAAAAACTCAAAATACGCTAATGAATAAATTCCTTTCATCGCGTTTCTTTTTCAATTTTTTCAGGTTTGTTTAACGAAACGAACAGTAAATAAAGTACAGTATTTAAAACCCGGGACAAAATTCTTAAATTCGGAAATTATCAGTTGAATGTTGAAAGATATTTTACACAGAACCCATTTCAATAAAGTCAAGTATTCGTCGAAAACTCAAAATCCGCTGAAAATAAATTCCGTTCATCGCGTTTCTTGTTTAATTTTTTTCAGATTTTTTTTAACGAAATGAAGAGCAAAAAAATTAATAGCATTTAAAACGCGGAAGAAAATTCTAAAATTCGGAAATTCTCAGTGGAATATTGAAAGATTTCTTCCACGGAACCCATTTCAAATCACGTATTCATCAAAAACTCATCATGCGCTAGCATAAATAAATTCCGATCATCGCATTTCGTGTGTGTTTATTTCATGGAATTATGAGGAAATGAAATATTAAAAAACCCATTAGAAAATTCTGGTACTGTATTTGGAAAATTTATGTTGAAATGTTAAAGGATTTTTTTTTCTCTCTCACAGAACCCTTTTTAAGTCACCGCGAATAAAACACCTCCTCGGGTATTTCTGGAATAGATTATCTTCAACCACCGATATAAATTTACGCCATCCGGAAAATGATCTTTTCAGTGATCATAATTTCAAAATAATTTTGATTACCTGCTGTAGTTGAAAAATAACTGCGTGCGAATCACGAGTAGAATATTATGCGAGTGCATTATTTTTCAATGAAAATTCCAGTCGGAAATTATGATGCAGTTGTGCCTCGGAAAATCTCTTGAAACATTGACAAGTTTTTCAGGTTCCCAGATTTACTTACAAAAATTAAAATCTTGACGTCACTAAAATTAGCTTGAGGATTTAGAATCATGTACTTCAAGCCTTTAAATTCAGATTATCTGGCAATGAGAAAATCGCAATTTCGAAGCGCTAACATTTTTTACATCTGTCACTAAAATTTGAATTTTTTTTTCATTTGGCTCCCAAGAATTTAGCACGAGTTGCAGGTGAAAAATTTCAGCGATGAAATTTCGCCTAAAAATATCACCTCTTGTACGGGTAAATTTCTCAAATAAAGAATTACAGTGTAAATATTCTAGATTCTGAAACTGGCGTATGAAAATTTGTCACAACGTTTCGTCGGAACATTTCATGAAATACTTTGTCATCTTTCCCAACCGAAAATCATCGAAAAGTAAAACGTGCGAGGTGAATATTTGTGTGTGTGTGTGTGGATGAGTGAGCAAAACGTGATGCAATTGACTCAGTGGGTTGGATATTTTTTTTCTTCTTCTGTTTGCTGGTCAAGTGGGCAGACTTCCGAAGTTCCGATGGGCGTTTTCTTCATCAGAATTGCGAAATCCTGCCCTGGCATAATTTCGCAGAGTGTCGCAAATCCCCAGAGGAAAATAATTTTTTTTTTTTTCGAGAAAAGGCGTAAAAACGTAGGCTCAATCATCCTTCTCTGAAAGTTAAGAGTACTTTGACTTTTTTAACAAAGCCCGACAAAAAGAACTCAATATGCTAGTGCTTCGGAAAAAAGTACAGGAAGTACCGACAACTAGGTCACCACTAACGTAAATGTCTTTTGTCTTCTCGATGAAAAAAAAAACAATTTTCAAAATACGGCTTTTTTCTTCCGAGTTCTAGTGCAGTTTATTATTCTGAAGCTATAAATGTCCATTATGTCTGTTGATAGTACGGGGAAATTGATTCAGCGCACTTGACTGCTCACTAAAATCCAATCCCTGGTTTGATATTTAGAAAAAAGCACAGTACTTTCATTTACACAAAAAGTTCATTTGATACAAAAAGAAACCTTTTTAAAATGGGGCATTTTCCTTGAGTTATATATCGCCATGTACAGCATCTCATTAATGGCCATCATGCTGGTCATTTAAAAAATTGCAGTTTGATGCATTTGCCTTATTGCATTTAATTCCTGGTCCAAATAAAACCAATAAAACCAATGAATGTTGCAATTTATGAGAAAGTGAAGGTGTTATTTTATGTCCAAATACATGTGTGAAAGAGGCCAATTTTGTGTTACTCTTCCTATTTGATAGGAATTAATTTTGATTTTTCTTTTCATCAATATCTGTATACAGAGTCACAACTGAGTTCACTGGATGGCCAACCAGTTCAACAGAGGCCACCAAGTTTGACCAGCCTGCTAGCAATGAAGGTCCCTCAGATTCATCCAGCTCAAGCAGCACCAGCAGTTCCACCACTAGTACAACTACCACCACTACCCAGAGGCCAACAACCACCAGTTTCAGGACAACCACACCTGGAGTGTGTGGTTCAGAGTGCAGACTAGGTGCTACCATTAGGATAGTTGGTGGGGCTGACTGGTCACCTGCTTTGTGGGACAAGAATAGTTATGCCTACAAGGACATGGCCAAGAAACTTGAGGAAGAGGCATGTGTGATTTTTGAAACAAAAGTATGATTTGGATTTTTAAAATTCAAATGCTTTCTTTTCTTTTTTCAACTTTAGCTGGATGCTGTCTACAGGAACAGTCTGCTTTCAGACTGGTATGACCGCGTGGAAATTGAAGCTTTCAGGTGAGAACAATAATACTGTGCATTCAAAATAATTTTCAATCAAGAGAAGAATTTATTATAGTTACCACGTTAGCTTTAAAATTCCAGAACATTATTTCTGAAAAAAAGGGAATGCAGGAAAATCTTGTTACCATAAATGAAGCTAGTGGAACCTTCCAGAAAGGCTTTTTAAAGAAGTTTCATCATACAGCAACTCAAAAAAAANGTCTGCTTTCAGACTGGTATGACCGCGTGGAAATTGAAGCTTTCAGGTAAGAACAATAATACTGTGCATTCAAAATAATTTTCAATCAAGAGAAGAATTTATTATAGTTACCATGTTAGCTTTAAAATTCCAGAACATTATTTCTGAAAAAAAGGGAATGCAGGAAAATCTTGTTACCATAAATGAAGCTAGTGGAACCTTCCAGAAAGGCTTTTTAAAGAAGTTTCATCATACAGCAACTCAAAAAAAAAAGTATGGCTATATTGGGCAACAAGAAGCAAAAAAACAAATATTTTGTCTTATTGAAATATTTGTTTTAGTTAGACAGTACTATGATATGAATTTGTCACCTTGCAGAGGATGGTCCAAAATAGAGGGCAATTTATGACACAGCTATAGACTTTCTCTACAACAATTTTCTCTGTATACCGCATTTTTTGTGGTCCCATGGAGTTCACTCCCCATGTTATGAAGGGTTCTATGGCAACAAAATTTTCTCCAAAAAATGTTTTTGGGGGCCAATGGGTTTTGTCATGGAGAAATTCCACTTCTATTGATGTCCAGGCTGTCAATTAAGCAAAAAATCTTAAAACACCTAGTGACATCTAGCAACATGCATCAGAAACGTTCTGGCCGTACTTTCAGTTTTTCCCGCAGGGTGGCTGAGTTGGTTCACAAAAACCGCGAAGTTCCACTTGCAGATATGATTATTTCTTGTAGAATAGCCCAATTGAGTTTAGTCCAGGGTGTTTTTATAAATTTGTCATAAAAGTAAGAAAGGAAAACTAGATTGATTTAAAATCTCAAATTCCGCTGATAGAGAATTGAGTAAGATTATGAAGTAATATAATTTTTTTTTTCGCCTGTGGGAATACTATTCCAGCCCTGGAAGTGTGGTGGTTGACTACGTGGTTTGGCTGCGTGGTTTGGAGAACCGCGAAGTTGACACTGGTCAGCTGAAGAAATTATTTTACAAATCCGTGGACGCGTTGTCAACTTCCCCCAGCTCCAATGACAGACGGAACCGACAGAAGTCACTCAAGCCCTCTGCAATCCCCGACAGACTCACCTTGGGCTCCTACACTTTGGATCCTTTCTACACTGATTTTATTGGTAGGTTTTTCTTCTTTTTTCTTCATGTTTCGGAAACATGAAAAAAAAAAACTGCCGGGTGTGTGTTCTTTGATGAATTATTTTAAACTATTTGTTTCATAGTTGCTGTTGTCGCCCGAAATATTTACTAATATTTTTGAAATTAAGTTGCGCTATGTGAAGAGTTAGTTCGAACAGTGTTATGTCATACAGTATTTCCGTGTGATATTCCTTTGCGCAATTCAGGTCATTTAAAAAAAAGCATTACACCAATCACCTCAGGAAGTAAACAAAAACTTAAGCTTCATACATGTCACTCTGGGGCTGTACGCCTGTGGAGCTGGACGCCTGTTAAGCTGCATCTCTATGAATAAAAGAGTAATTCTTAATTATTTTTTTCCGGACTGTACTCCACACTGACTCGACATAGGGACATTTTGTTAAAAATTTGCAAATACATTTCAGGTCAAATTACAAGAAACAGATATTTCCAACCCTAAAATTGATGTCAGAAAAGTTATTGGGCATTTCTCTCACCAATTTACCATTCATTTAGCTAATTAGAAAAAATTACCTCCAGCAGAGAGGGACTTCCCTCTCTCTTTTACACTTGAATATTATTTTTACAGAGGATGCCAACATTTCTATGTACTGTACAGAGGTATCAGTATTCCATTCCCCAAATGCCCATATTGTGTTGAAATATATTAATTGAATCATTTTAAAATTGGAGACAATTTTTATTTTCATGGAATTATGGTGAGTATTTTGTCCATAAAACACTAATTAAAAATTATATAATGTAAGTCTAAGGGATAATGTGACTTGACTTGGGGACACTCTTGATGCACCAATTACGTCTATATACATATATATACTGTTATAATATAAAATTCAAGTATTATTGCTGGTGAAATTTTTTTTGGCATTGATTACTCATTTTAAAATCTTGTGTTCCAGTGTTGAAAGAGAACTCGGTGATCCTCTCGTTCTTACTCCTGCTGATGCTTAATGGCGACGGAGTCACCCGTTATCGTCACTAGCAGTAGTCGAGACGTAGGGAGTAGAAGCAGCACCGTAAGCCGTAGTGTTACCAGGCAGTGAGACATGTGATGATGATTTTTATCCATCAATGTCGATTTCAATGTTTTACTGTCGAATCTCGTTACAACAAATACCTTTACAACAAAATTTTTTCGTATTACAAACTTATTTCTCTCAAGTCCCAACAGAAAGCCAACATGAGTACAGTGCATTTTAAAACAAATTGGTTATAATAAAGTTCCCGATTCCAGAATAGCTAAAATATTGTTCAATGATTAAAAAATTGAAAATTGTTTATTTGTTCAAGGAATTTTTAATAGATTCTCAGGGTAAAAATATCCTGACTAAAGCTGGCTCAGTCTGAAATTTCCAATTCCATACAAGTTGTATATGATACTGTCCGATCTTTCATGTAACTCACTGGTTCTTGTAACATTGATGGAAGCTGTAATCAATGAGAAAACCTGCCTCCATCACAAAGGGGTGTGTAGTAGGAACGTCTTACTTCTCTAAGCAAGTTGACTACCTTACGTACAAACTTCGCTTAAAAAAACAAGAAGTCTTTAAGTTAGTCAAAAAGCTTATTTTTATGTCATGTTTTCTGAAACGAATTCGCGGAAAGCAAGATCTATAATTGATTGAATGCATGTCCGATGTAGAAACTTTTTCCTGTAACATTAAATCTTGATAAACAAATTATTCAATATGAAAAATTTTTTTTCAAGTCCTCAAAAGTTCGTTGTAGAACGAGGTTTTTACTTATTTTTGCCACGGAAAAATGAAGGAAACTTGAATTTCTCTGATGCCTCAGCTGGTGAACAGGAAATAATTTTTTTTCAGAAGATCACTCAGCTTTTCAAAAAATAATGAAAAATCTGAGAATCCCAGAAATGCAAGATCTAATTGATTTAAGGCGTGTCCTATGTGAGAAAACTTTTTGCGGTTATTAATTTAAAATATTTCGTTATAATACTGTACATTATTTAGTGTAGGAAGCGTTTTCTTGTACGACGAGATATTTTTTACTTAATGTTGCCGCACAAAAAAAAATTCAATGAAATTTGAATTTCTCCCAATCCCTCAGCTGGTGAACAGGAACAAATCGAGCAAGAAGCGAAGCACGAAACACGTTCCGTTATCTGACGAAATGCTGCACGAGCTGAGCAAGGACCACATGACGTCGCCATTGGGCGTGATGACGAGCCACCACCACCACCACCACCCTCCACCACCATCCTACCACCCTCCATCGTCCTCTTCAGCAGCTGCGAATCATGCTGCGGAAGAACGACGGGCCCTGGGGGCAGGTGGCAGCAGGGACAGGTCCAGGGATCATTCCAGGGAGGGGTCACTGCCTCTTCTCAGGATGAAACCTCTGGCCTTTGTCGGTGTGGGGCCCAAACGACCGTCCCAATCTCGAGGCCACCCACAAAAAGGGGGCAAAGAAAGGACACACACGAAAATTTAAAAAATTTTTTACTAGGGCATACCAGGGTTGGTTCATAAGTTTTGAGACTTTTTGAAAAATATCCAACGGAGTTTCAACTATTCAAAAAAATAATAAAAATGTTGCTTGCACGTCCCCGTCATTTGGCAACACTTGAGTGCTCTTCAACATACTCTCCAACAATTGGAATGTTTTTTTTTCCATACAATAACTCCTATTTGGGACAGAGGTCACCACCATATATAATATGTTGATGTCAAGAGTCAAGTAATGCAATAAAACACAGCAATCAGTCTGGGACAGGACTGGGAATTCCTTTTATGAATTCCTAGTTTAACAGGATGAATGTATTTCACAAGATAAATTGATGAACAATTCAGCAAACTCTTCTTGCAGCTTGCAGCTAAGGATAAGTTGGATAATGGATAACTCAAATCAACTACTGATACTAATCTGTTCTAGATGAGCTGCTTATATACTCCAAATTATATTTAACCTTCAATGGTTGTTACACCTATAATCAGTTCAAGAATTCTATATAGTCAAGGACAATTTTTAGGAGGGGGGAATGATTTATT